AAAATCATCATGTCCCAAACCATCGTCGGTATTCCTAATGCTGTCGTTCCGTTCTACAGGAACCCCATTGGGAATGCCGATGATGATGACAAAGGATCGACCGATGAAATCAGATAGCTCCGCCTACACTATTTAAATCAATGATTAATTTGAATTAGAGAATTATTAGTTACTAAGAGAAGAGGACGACAGTCTGAATTAAAGCAAGAGAAACGAGCTATTAAATTGATCCTTAATCAATCCCTTTAAAATCTGTTTGTTTCTGTCTTCTTAATTAAGGATAATTACCACGAGTGCTTAGACAATTACAGTGAATGCTCTGTTACGATAATTAGTGTGGGGGGGGGGATAATTTTTGTTTTGGTCTTTCTATGTGACAGGTAGCAATTGGAAACGAGTGTTTTCTTAAAGGGGCGCTACCACCGATGGTTAGTGCTAAATGATAAGGCCAGCTCAATTTTGCGTCATAGGCCACGAGATGTAAACAGGGTAGCGCTAATCCCAACCCTAACCCTAACCCTGTACCTAGCCGCAATGCGTACCTTAACCCTAACCTACAATCTCGCGAACAATCACGTGCCCTAACCTTATTTACATCTAGGCGACCTTGACAAAAATTGAGCTGGCCTTAAACATACATTAAGCAAAAGCTAAATCTGCCTATTGCAGGTCTTTCTTTAGGCCTGAAATGTTTTCTAAATTATTAATTAGACATTAATTAACTTATCCAGGCCATAAACAACTCTCGATGGCAGCGGATTTCTAGGATATTAAATAGATTAGAACAGTTCAGCCATATTTTAATTTAAGCTAAAAATGGAGGAGCGAGACTTAGCTTCAAACAACCAGTACGGTGGTTGAAATTATTGCACACGTCTTGTCAAACCTTCAAAGGCTAACATCTTCGCTCGCAATAGAGTAATTTGAATGAAATATTAAAATTATTCATTTTACATTATCTATTTTCGAACTATTATAACAAGAATGGCTAGCTCTTTATCTAAATCTTACATAATGTATCTTTAACAAATAGATTTAGTCTACCTCCGATCGGGAAATATATCAACATCGAGTTGCGATTATTCTGCCAATTCTGTGAAACAGCCATTTTTTGTAAAGTTTAAATTCGAATCTATCTCTCGATGGATGTCTAAAACTCCACGTCGGTCTGAAATCTAGATTTTCTATTACACCACATAGACATACGCCATTAGCAAATTTTCTGGTAAAACGTGACTTGATTCTCGATTAATAAGTCAATCTAAACCATTACACTTTGTCTTATAGAATAAACCCTCGAGGGATACACGACTAGTGTCACGTGATCCCATTCATTTACACCTCGATTATCACGTTACTAAATTCGACATTTTAAAATACCCCCTAGCGGTGTGTTTGGACGGCACGAACAAAATACATTCAAATCTCCACATTTTAACTAATTCCATAAACATCACCGGTGGGGATTTAACCATGGGTGAATTCGCGATAAATGACCACTTTGGAAGAAATGAAGTGGCTTATATTCCCTCAAGGCTAGTAAAATCATGGCGTCTATTTCTCTGACAAATTAGTCGTACATAAAGAAAGAGAAATGAAACGCGACATAAAAAAAGATCAAATTCCTTGGATAATTAAACTATGCTATTCGTCTCCCTGCCAACCGACCAACATGTAATGATTTCTTTTTTTTGTAAAATGGACGTTACGAATCCTATTTTTAAATGCCGCTATTATTCGTCTGATTTATGATCGAGATAAAAACACAAATAAAGCGCAAATCTTGAAGGAAATTAAAACTTTTCAGTATCTGCAACATTGATTTTTTTTTTTTAAGGAGCAAGGCAGAATCAATTTCGGAAATAAATAGATAATTTTCAGCATTGCTAGACTTATTTTGAGATAACGACTATAGATCTTTCCTCTAATATTAATTGATTTTGTGTTAATATGTCCATGTATAAAACATAAAGGCACATGGGAACCACGGTGGCTAAGACGCTGGTCATATGTTCGATCCCTGCATTGGTCGAGAAAGTTCATTGTGGTTTTTCCGACGTGGTTTCCTCTTGTCAGTGGTGCAGGACGGAGGGTGTGACAAGCATAGTCAGTCGTTTGGATGGGACGAAAAACCGAGGTCCCGTGTATACATTGGCGTGTACGTACAAGATCCCTTGGCAGTTGGAATTCGGTATAAGAGTAGGCGATAGTGCCGTTGCCCGGGCAAAATTTCCCTTCATAGCACACTGTATGGCGTATGCCCATCTTCATTAGCCCAGTCGGAGCAGAACAGCAGAACAGTAGGACGTAAAACCCCATTTCATTTCATTTCATTTCACAAAGGCACCTGCTTAATGAAACAAGTCGTATAGCCTTCTGAGAACACTAGTTCACTGTTAATGTTACATCCCATGGTAGTCTTGTCTACAAATACCATTCATCTAGCGTCATCAGACATAAAAACCGAACTATGTGAACGTACAGCTTTTATCTACGACTGTAGTTTGTGTTTAATAAAGTAAATTAATTGCTGTAGAGGATTGATATGCCCGGATACGGTCTCTATTCACTTATAAATGTCCCTTTATAATTTTGTTTCAAACAGGGAGGCAGTCAACGATAGCGCTTATAAATTTGATTTCTAGATAAAAGCTTGATTTGCCCGGATATGCATTCAACGATAGCGACGTTTTTTTTTTGTTTTGTTTTTTATTTTTTTTAAAAACCAGGCCTGGAAAAGAGAGAGAGAGAGAGAGAGAGATAGAGAGATGGGGTCTCTCTCTCTCTCTCGGGGGGGGGGGGCATAAAGGTTAGCGCCTGCACGCTGTATCAGTAAGTCGGTCATTGAGTCAACTGGTGTGGTTTTGATTCCCGGGTTGTACGTGACAGGGAGCAGGATCGCCTGTCCAGCCTCGTGGGTTTCCTCAAGATACTCTGGTTTCCTCCCACTGCTTAAAAGAAACCTACGCGCAAGCGAATTATTGAAATAAAATTGAACCATGTGTTTGTCCCGAGTACGGGTAGCACCCCCCCCCCTGTTTCCCCTCACTGCTAAAAACCTCTAAGCACAATCCTTTTACTGAACAAAAATATACCACGTTAAACTCGAAATGACTTAGTTTGTGTCTAGTGGACGCCCCCCCCCCCCTCTCTCTCTCTCTCTTAAGATGTCTGTGATCATGAAGGCCGTCATGTAATGTGTTTTGATAGTATTGTCGATTTAGCTAGGAGGTCTGACTATAGATTACCCTAGATCACGTAAACATAACTGCACAATTATCATTGTTATTTCTAAGAAGCATGTGTCGTTTCTAAACAAAAACTTTAAAATAACGATCCGATGGCGTGCCATTTAAACATCATAGCCATTTTTTCTGACACGATCCGAGGAATATTTAAACATGGACATTCTAATTAAATTACCGTTTTACGTGACGTCTTGTTATTGTATTAATACATTTGGCTCTAGTCAAAAGAGATTATGATTCTATTCCAGTAATACTTCAATTGTTAAGATTTCTAAAAATTGAACGCCATTACATTCCTTAACCTTTATTATGAGAGTTTTTTGTTCCACCGCGTGATATCTAAACGTACTCGAGCGCGTCAGTTATTTTATGAGTATATTATTATAGAAAACCGTCATCACTTCCTTTTGTGACGTGTACGGCGCGGATGTAGATTTATGATATCATATACTTGTCACCAATCTGTTTCACAGAGGATTACGAAAGTCTTCTAATATCTATGTAAAAGGTGACTACCTTCAGCAGCGTCAATCACTGGCTCAATGGCGCGTGCATTGTTTACATAAGACCTTACTGGTTCGGGCAGAATGGAATCTTTTACTCATTTAAATACCCATTTACACTAAATAGGAAATAATTTTTACCTACAAATACCCCAAACGTCTTTATTTATTTTTCTAATACATAAAAAAAAGTTTTAGAATTTAATTTGTCGGAGGAAAAAAGTAAATATTTGTGGCTCATTAAGTCGCATCGATGTAACCCTTATCAGTTATTGTAGCGGCCTAGCAAATATTCACTGCTGATCAGTGTGACTGGTCACCTACAACCGGGAAACCGAAACCACGCCAGTTGACTCTATGATAGACCTTATGATACAACGCTCACGCGCTAACCATTCGGCCATCTAATCCCCCTTGTTCTTCAGAGGCCTATAGGTCAGTGGTTCTCAACCTTTTTTTGCCAACGGCACACCTTGGAACACATGTAAAAATAGCGGCACACCTGACTAAATATGAAAAATATCTGAATTTTGCAAAATAAAAACATGGTTAAGTCAGACGACATACAACCCGTAGACAGAGACTAGTCATAGACACTTAGAATGACTCAAACTAAATGAAGAAAAACACAGCTATGAACTTTTCAGTGAATATTCAATTGGGATCACGTGTTTTTTTCACATTTTCTTAGTGTGCCGTTCAAAATTTCGCGGCAAACTTACGAAGATGCCGCGGCACACTGGTTGCGAATCACTGCTATAGACCTTCATTGGCTTCCAATTGTACAAAGATGTCGCTTTAAAATTTTATGTTTAGCCTTTAAATGAATTTTCGACCCTTCCGCACCTGTGTATTTAAAAGAACTTATCTGCATACCGACACCGAAACGTTTAACAAGATCATCAGAAGTTATCAGACTCAACTTGCCAACTATGAAGTCCAACAAAACATATGGGGATAGAGCATTTATGCAGAGTGCACCAAAGGCTTGGAATGAATTAACTGTTACAATTAGAAATATTGAAAAATATCACTCCTTTAAATCGTCGTTGAAAACATTCTTGTTTAAAGAATATTACAATCAATTCTAAATGTTTAGCAATGTTGAAATAATTTACTTCAACTTCTACCCACAACATTGTAAAGCGCGTTGAGATATTATTTGTATATTGTAATGCTCTATATAAGAATAAATTATTATTATTATTATTATTATTATTATTAATGGCTATAAATGCTATATTTGCAGGTTCATCGTGTACTGATAGCTTAGAATGTGTTGATTTGTGTTGTCGGGAAATTCGAGGCCACAGATATCACTACAACAGATGTGGAAAACCGGAAGATGACTTCACTTCCTACACATGCGTGATGGCACAACGAAGCGGAAATGACGTATTGGACGATATTGGATTATAAACAGGAATTACTTCAAAGATTTACATTTTCAATTTTCTGAAAAATCATATTTACCTCTTTTTTTTTTTTTTTTTTATCTGATATTTAAATATTAGAATCACCAAATTCCATCAATGTCCCTTTTTTTTCTAAATTTGTAAATTATGGAAATTGACATAATAGACCGTTTTGGTCCAGTGTTCTGTACCATGTTGTAAGTTTCAAGACATTTCACGGAACCACGTGCCCGATTATCTACCATATCTGATAATGTTCCATGTCAAGAACAACTATTATCAAAACAATTTGCGACTAGACCAAAATAAGCTGGTATCCATGTAAAATTAATTACCCAGTCATTGAGTCTCATTATGATGTCAATATCCAATTATCGACAACTGGACAAAAAAAACGAAAAAAAAAAAACAGCAAAAATTCTCGACAAACGCGACGGGAACAGGAAACATTGTCACACATTTTATTTGATTGAAAAATAAAGAAGACCATTTCGGTAGTTCTTTTTTTTTGAAAAATATTAAGAACTTCTGTTTTTCATTTATTAATTATTGTGTAAAATATCAAACATTTCCATGTTATTCTGGCACCATTTCGTAGAATGAGTACCTAGATTTTAAAATAGGACAATGTCCATGGTTTTGTAAATATGTTTTCTGCTCAATTTATTGTACCAGTTCTAGAATGTATTACTAAGAAAGCAAAGGTAATAAAATTTATCAAAGAATAAAGTTAGTTTTATTTCACAGGTGACAATTCTGTGGAATACAATTACTGTTTATTACTAAGCGACGTTTCGACCAGGCTGTTGTAATTCTCTGGTAAAACTCGCCGGCCATTAATCAGCGTGAAATCGGTTCCTAAGCTCCGCCCCCAATGGCTACTGATTGTGGCAGGATTTGTTAGAATAAAACTCGCCGGTCATTAATCAGCGTGAAATCGGTTCCTAAGCTGCGCCCCCAATGGCTACTGATTGGCAGGATTTGTTAGAATGAAATACTGCCGATTTTTCGACAATTAGGCATCGATTCGTTACATAAATTACACATTAATGATCCTTGGAACATTTTCCACATCTTGACATCATCAAAAATGCATTCGAAAACTGGCGATTTGATGATCAACCGGGAACTATTTTCAGCTCACAATGTGGGTGATTCGGCTGAATACGTGAAATTTCGGAAGAAACACGAGTTTGAGCCGCCATCTTGGATCTTTGTGAAGCGACCGATGGAAGGATACATCACGTGACATTCAAAATGGCTGACGGGTTTTACCAGAGATAAACAAGTGGAAAACGTATCTCTGGGACTGAGATAGCTGTAATCCCTGAGTGACATTTAGCGATTTGTCATCACAAAAAAAAACACAATACAATTTATATGGGAAACAATCACTGCTGGAACCTCGGTTATCTGTTTCCTCTGCTGGAAACTCGGCTATCAGTTTACCCTATGGAACCGAACCCCAACTATCAGTTTCCGCTGCTGGAACCTCGGCTATCAGTTTACTCTATTGGAACCTCGGCTATCAGCCAACCCTGATGGAACCCGGCTATCGGTTTACCCTGATCGAACCCGGCTACCAATTTACCCTGCTGGAACCTCGGCGATCAGTTACCCTATTGGAATGAATACAGTAATTTATTCAGGAATATTACTGACATGAATTTCAAGCCGGTACGTGAATTAAATATGGAAAATTTCCCGTACGGTGTACCTGTTTGTCGTTATTTTTGTGGTAATTACATACAGTAAAATACGATATTCCTCATAAAAAATTACCAAGAATTATTTTTGTTGAAGTCTGGTTATATTAAAGGGAATGGAAGCTTAAAATTTTATAACCCTCATTTGACCCAATTCTGGCCGATTCGTTTCAAAATGGATTAAGAACCCTGGTACCCTATTGGAACCGAACCCCGGTTATCAGTTTACTCTATTGGAACCACGGCTATCAGTTTCCTCTGTTGGAACCCCGGCTATCAGTTTACCTTATTGGAACCTCGGCTATCAGTTTACCCTATTGGAACCTCGGCTATCAGTTTACCCTGTTGGAACCCCAAATCCAGTGTCCGCGATATCACTACTATGGAAGCAGACATGAAACCACCAGCTACTACCCCAACTATACATTCCACGTTCCAACCAGAAATTTCCGAGAGACATTTGACTCTAAGGTCGGGAGGCGGGGTGAATGATGAAATGATGGTGGTGGGGGGTGTGGGGGGGGGGGGGTACGACAATGCACGCTTTAGGCCTACAGTCGATACATTCGGTAGTTCCTGATACTAGTGATTTGAATACACAGTTGAATAGATTTCTGTTCTTAAAAACAAGATCACGCCAGACTCAATGGCAGACCTTATGATCTAAAGCGCAGACGTAAAGATAATATATCGGATTAAAATTAGGTCCACCAAAAGATTTCAACACAGATGACACTGGTTTGTGTTGACTATATCGTCTTCAGAAGATGACGAATGAAACCCCCCTCACCCCTCGCCAGCCATTTGTATAAATTTATTGTAGCTGGACTAAGACTAGTAATTATTTCCCCTTATTTCATTATGGACGAGTGTAGTGCGAGTTATAAATAGACAATTTTTCCCTTAATTTTTTTCTCCCCTCTTCCTGCATTTTTGGGTTGACATTTTGGTCTAGAATTGGAGAAAAGGGATCAAATTTGCAATTTCATAGCAGTTTTGGGTAATACTGATGATATTACAGCGGAGGGATAGGGGGTGTAAAGCGTCTGTCTGCAGAGCAATCATTGTGTCGGAAGTGAGATTTTCACCCCAGTCAACTTCAAATCCCCGTAGCAAAAAATCTAAATGGTCAACCCCCTACAAATTTATTATGAGGGTATTGCTAAATGTGGTCCCCATTGTGCCTATAAAGATTGGAACCAACGGATTGTTGAGCAAAAAGCTACAGCCTTTGATGTTACAGCCATTTAACATTGAATCCAATGGGCAAATAATTGCCAGTCGGAGTCCAGCTCAAATTATGTGACATATTTCTCGGTGTTACGTCCTAGACATCTTACAAGTGTTGTCAGTAGTATACACGCGGTACCTAGGACAACAATTCTATGGTCCATTAGCTTTTCCTTGGCAGATCACTTCCTCCGTCTGTCCTTTGGCCCATCCGCATGACCTTTGCTTTTCCTAGGCTAGTCACACAGAGAGAGGGGGAGAGAGATATGGGGTTTAACGTCCACTCGACAAAATTTAGTTCATTTCGGGACTGAAACATGGTCCAATTTTATTTCAATAATTCGCACGTAGGGGACTTTTAGCAGTGGGAGGGAATCGGAGGACCCGGAGAAAACCCACGAGGTTGGACAGGCGACCCTACCCCTTGTCACGTACAACCGGGGAATCGAAACCCCGCCAGCCGACTCAATGACAGACCTTATAATACAGCTCGCACGTGCTAACGATTCGGCCATCCAAACCCCTGTTAGAGAATGGATATTGTCATAACTGAGTGGTGTGAAGACAAAAGAAGACGCAAACTTCTCTGATAAAGCAAGGTGTAAATTTTCCTGGAATCCCCCCCGCCCCCAACAACATTAAACCTAACAATTCGAGGTGTTGATTTGTTTTGTCAGTTGCAGGTCACCCATAGAATCAATAACAGACATTATGAATGTAACAATTCAAAACTACATGATCACTCAAACCCTATGATCTGTGTTTTAATCAGATTGGATACAGTTTATAAAAAACGAAACGAAAACAGATATATGTATTTGGATCAGATTGCATACACACAGAACTAGTTTTGAATGTTACGGTTGAGGCATCTACGCCATCTATGTAAGTGTGGCGTCATATCAAACTCGTAGTCAGTCAATTCCCAATGAAGATCATGCCAAGTAACAAGACCATCGTACTTGAATTGTCGCCCCATAAAGAAGATATTCTGGTGCATTATTAATATATTAAAAATATTTACGATTGAGTCACGCTTGCCCAGCTTATTGGTTTGGAGATAATACACATACAGCTAGTCCGAAATAAGCCACTCTTTCCCAGCTAGGTGTCATGCAAAGAATGGGGCAGAGGAAGCGTCTTACCCGAGCATCTGTTTCGGGGAGAGTGGGCCGGTCAAAGAGTGAACGTAAATTAAGTATTTTAAAAATTTGAAATTTTCACTGGCAACATTGTTGTACAAGGTTTCCTACTTTACTTAATTTACTTATTTTATTTTATTTCTGAGTACTGAGTCCTGTCCTAAATGAGTCTCGGGTGCGTACAATCACGGATTTGACCTCGGACATTATCATGGCAACCGCTTGTTCTGATCTGTTATTAAGTTAACTTGATGACAGGTCAGAAAAACAATCAGAAAAGTTTGGAGTAAACAATCACCCATCAACCCCAGCTAACTTGCTAATAGATTAGAACAAGCGGTTGCCATGCAAGTTACGCCCACATTTAGCAAGAGGTGGACAGAGAACAACCTAAAAAAAGAAAACAATAAAGGGCCATAATCCAGGATATTACGGCCCGACACGCGTCAATATCGCCAGGAGCCGAGATCTTTGCGATATGAACTTTCATCATAGGGTTTTTTTTTTTATCAAAACCGGATAAAAATTGTGACCTCTAGAGGGTCCACAAGCTAATGTCACGATTGTTTTCGATACATGCCAATATCGCAAGAATATAAACCTATTTTAAGTTTCGTCAAAATTGGAGAGAGAGAGAGAGAGAGAGAGAGAGAGAGAGAAATGGGGTTTAACGTCCACTCGACACAAACTAGGTCATTTCGGGACTAACATATGGTTTAATTTTATTTACATAATTCGCTTGCGCGTAGGGGTCTATAGCAGTGGGAGGAAACCAGAGGCCCCGGAGAAAACCCTCGAGGTTGGACAGGCAACCCTACTCCTTGTCACGTCAACCGGGGATTCGAAACCACGCCAGTTGACTCAATGACAGACTTTATGATACAGCGCGCGCACGCTAACCATTCAGCCATCCAACACCCCTCGTCAAAATTGGATAAAAATAGTGACCCGTAGAGTTTCCATAACCTTGGTTTTACGCTATTTGCTTATGGGGAGCGGTCATTTTGACGGAATGTGTTGGTCCGATTTTCACGAAATTCAAACTCAACCATCATTATGGTGTAATGGTGGATATATTGAAACGGTTTTTAAATTTGGATAAAAATTGTGACCTTTAGAGATTCCACATGCTAAATACATGATTTTTTGTACACTCGGGGACCATACTCCAGGAAGGTACGGTCCGGTATGCGCGTATATCAAAAGCAACCGAAATCTTAGGGATATAAATATATATCTTAAGTTGCATCAAAACCCGGATAAACATTGTGACCTCTAGAGTGCCCACAAACAAAATGTGAACGGACGAACGCCCACATGAAAAGATTGGGTCTAAAAACAATCAAACATTTTGGACTAACGTAAGGAGTAAACAATCATCTGCAAACTTTCCAAGTAGAAAACTGTGATTAGATACAGTTATTATAGTAAGCCACTTTAGTCAATCGACTACATGTCTATTAAAGACAATTGTTAGTAAGAATCGATAGAGCGCAACCCAACCAGAATAAACCACTTTATCATTCATCACATACTATTGATATAGATAGATTGGATTTTACACATACACGAACAGTAATATACATCTAGGAGGTAATTTAATCGCTTTCACTCGGGTTCGCTCCCCGGTTTGGTCGAGAAAGTTCCTCGG